CTGCCATTCTGTCCACGTGACTAGAACCCATCGGAAGGGGAGACAGAATATTGAGGAGCACATCCTTCTCCTTAACAGCACACTCCATGGGCCTAGCAAAAAATTTGGGAGTTTTATTACTTAAGGAAGAAGGAGAAATGGATTCTGCTATACCCTGCTGAGTTGATTTAACTCTACAAATATTGGAAGCAGTTCATGAAAGAAAGAACTGGGTCAAGGCCCTTTCTTTTAACGGCAGCTGTTAGATATGAGCTTGGCAGCTTATCAAGGCACCCAAAATTCAGTGGCTTAAGTATTCAGTCAGGATAGGCTTCATTATGCTCTGGTAACAAACCACCCCTAAATCTTGGTTGCTGTAGTGGTTTGCAAAATATGGCCAGAAATTTCTCCTATTCTGGTGTGCATGCCCCTTACCAATGTGACTTTTCCCCACCTGCAAACCTGGGCTGGCCTTGTGACTTGCTTTGACCAGTAGAATATGTAGAGGTGATGTCATGTGACTGTTGAGCATAGACCTCAAGAGACCTTGCCCCAGGCACCTTGGGTCTCTTAGGATGCTGTGGCTGCCAGGCCATGAGGAGTTGGGGAGGAAAGACTATAAGGAGAGAGAAGTCCAGCTGTCCTGCTGTTCCCACTGAACTCAGCCCCCAGCTACTGCAGCTGCATGGGCAAGCCCAGGTAAGACCAGCAGAAGAATGGCCCAGCCAACTCACAGAATTATGAGAAAGAATAAATCATGTTTTTTTTTTTTAACCCTCTAAGTTTTATATAGGAGTCCCTGGGTGGCACAAACAGTTAAGCACTTCTTGGCTACTTACCAAAAGGAGTCCCTGGGTAGTGCAAACCGTTACGTGCTTGACTACTAACTGAAAGGTTGGTGGTTCAAACCCACTCAGATGCACCTTGTAATCTGCTTCAGACCTGGCAATCTGCTTCCAAAAGATCACAGCCTCTAAAGCCCTATGGAGTGCAGTTCTACTCCGCAACACAAGGGGTTGCCATAAGTTGGAAGTTACTTGATAGCAACTGTCTTTTATTATTATTATTAATGGAAAGGTTGGTGGTTCAAATCCACCCCGAGGTGTCTCGGAAGAAAGACCCGGCGATCTACTTCTGAAAGATCACAGCATTGAAAACCACGTGGAGCACAGTTCTACTCTGACACACATGGGGTCACCATGAGTCAGAATCAACTCCACTGGTAACTGCTTTTTTTCTTTTTTTTAAATTTTGGATAGTAATTTTCTTCCCCTGCAGCAGTACTACCATACTCGATGCCGTCGAGTCGATTCCGACTCATACTGACGCTATAGGACAGAGTAGAACTGCCCCATAGTGTTTCCAAGGAGTGGCTGCTGGATTCGAATAGCCAACCTTTTGGTTAGCAGCCACGCTCTTGAACACCGTGCCACCAGGGCCCCGCAGCAGTAGTAACGCAGTGGATTAAAACAACAAAGGGTTATTTCTGGCTCACATTACAGATCCGCTGTGAGTCAGAAGGGGCTTCTGCTATGGTGTCACTCAGGAATCTAGGGTAACAGAGCAACCCCTATCACAAACATTGTCATACAGAGGGAAAGAGCCTGGTGAAGGCTGCATTGCCTCTTAAAGCTTCCACCTGGAGGTGATTGTCTTAGGCTGGGTTCTCTAGAGAAGCAAAACCAGTAAAGTGTATAAATATATATATATAGAGAGAGATTATATCAAGGAAACAGCTCATGTGATTGTAGAGGCTAGAATGTCCCAAGTCC